GCCATACATGTATGTGTTAGGGAAGGAGAGAGTAGAGTTCATATTTCTAATGTTTATGGAACAGTAATGGCAAAATTTTAGCACGACATAGAGAGATGACTTGCATTAGTGAAAAGGAGGGAGCTCTAGGTAAGACTTACGAAAAGCGAAATAACTATTTCACGCAAGACAAAGGTTATAAGGATTGTGCTTAGAATTGTCGCAAATTTAAAAACAAAGTAAAATAAAAAATATCCCCGTGATAAATTCCTACTTTCTGCTATTCCCACTCACCTAAGTTTTCTATTAAGATCTCAGACTATACACCTTTTCTAGAGGTAAAGGTCATTCTTGTTTAATAAGAGTTATGTCGCTACATTTTGCAGCTGTAAATCTACAAAGCTACAACTACTAATTGCCTTGACTAATGTAGACAATGTAAACCGACACACATAGTAAAAAAAATCAACACATTTACATCACTGTACGCTCAGATCTCATCAAAACACGTATGATGACATTATTTCAACGTATTGTCAAAACGGACTAAAACGTATGCTAAAATGCTAACCAGAGACGAGGTTTCCACTGTAAAATTTACACCTTGAGGACGCTAAGCGTTGATTCAGCACGAGTCGTGATAAATAATCGGATGTACTACACAGTATCCATGATCTGTACACTGAACATACCATAAAATGGTCTGTAGGCTTGTTTGTCCAGTTATTCACACATGAAAACTCCTGACAAACTTTCATTTCAACAACACTAAGAGTTTCAGATTGAATCTTGCAATCAAAAAATATCCTGAGCTTGTACTCCCTAAATACAATTGGATAGACTGGTAGTTGCCATGGCAACGTTACATCAAGTTGCTTAGCAACCGGCAAAAACTGTGAGTTCACAGATTCTGGCTGCATAGACTGCTATTTGCATGTTTTCATTTTTTTCATCAGTGTGAAAGGACTGCTTTTAAAATTTTGATAACGGAAAGAATTTGATTTGGAAAGAAATTAAAACATTGTGCTTCACAGCAAACTTGCTTGCCAATTTGTGTCCAATTTCAAATCATTAAGTACATCCAGACTTACAAATTTCACTGTGTTACAAGTTTGTCAACAATGGACTGGTTTTTCAACAGATTTCAACAGTTATTCTCTCCTGAAGTGTGTGATTATCTGACACAATCAATATTAAATAACAGTAAAATCATTATCATCAAATCTGTTGCTGAATATTATTGATCAATATGTTATTAAACAATCTTACAAGTATGTAGAAACGTTTGCTCAATGTGAAATCATTGATAAATCATTACTTTCAAGACAACGGCCTATTGATTTGCTTAAAAGTAAACTAAAAACAATAGAAGCTTTCCTTCTAAGAATGGCAAACATACATGTAAATTCCAGTATCAAAAATAACATGTAGAAATATATTACTTCAGCTATAAAAGACCATGTTAAAAATCTCTAAAGGCAGATCTCTTTTTGTTCCAAAAATATTCAACATGCTTGCTTTTTCCACTTTAATAAGAATTTTCGTGTGAAATGTTTGTCTGCATCCTTGCTGTGCAGGTAATTCATCATTGTACATGTATCAATAGAGTTTTTGTGCGGAGCAAGAAACCAGACAAGTATCCTATTGTTTGGCAACTCCAGTGAAGCTTTGCATTGATTAAACAATCCTGGATACCTGGTGACCTCTGTGTTTCTTTTTCATGATTATTCACTATATGCAAACAATTGTCTCCATTTGGCGTGAAAATATGATCATATTTGTCCGTGGACATTATCTTTTCCAAGAAGTGAATGGTTTTTCGAGAGTGTAGCTCAGGAAAACTGCAAGCTTTGAGGAACAGAAAATGTCCAAGGACAAATATACGAGCACATTTTCACACCAAGTGGAGGTTAATGTATTTATCATCCTTCAACTATTTTTTGCAACACATGAAGCATTG